ATTCTGGATCCAAGATAGAAGATTGAAGAAATTCAGAGGTTAGGGTTTGAGAGAGGAGAGAATTAGCGTTAAAGGAGAGGATAGGTTAAGAAATGAAGGGGAGAGAATAAGTTTTTGGAGAATTTTTTTAAGAGGGATCGAGGAACGAGCTTCATGCTTCGGAGCGGGAAAAAATGATAGAGAATTGGATTTTTTTTCTTCATAGGGTTTTGGGAAGACTGAGGCAATCGTTGCTCAAGTCAGTGTTGTAATGGTGAATCGAGATTTTTAATGAAGTGGGTTTGATTACTCTTGACTGTTTTATGAAATCGAGTTACGTCTGTGATGAAGAATTAAAAGGGTGTCTATAGGATTGAATATGCGGAGTAAATGAAATTTATTGGGTTAATCTAACAAGACAGTTAGTGGACACAAGATCGTGAGTATAAAGCGGTATCGAAGATTAGTAGTTTGGGTTGTTTGAGGTTCTCTATAACGTTTAGAGACCTACCTGTTGGGGCAAAAAGGACTTCGGCGAGCAGTCAAAGGACATCCATATAGATTTACGATATATTCTTACAGTTGTTTATATTCCAACAGTCAAAAACCGATAAATTGCTTGAATATTAGCGAATCTCCATACTACCTTCTACAGCGAGACACCTGACACGTTCTCGAGCAGGAAAGTACGTAATACGACAGCGTTTGGTATTACAACTTTGGAAGGGACTCCCAATGTTTAGTGATTTTACTAGAGATAAAAACAACTCTTGATAGTGTTTCAAATGTTTTATTTGAAGGAAGTTATATAGGTCTCAATATTAATCAAATAATTAGGTGGTCTTTCTGCCTTAGTATAAGACACTATTGATGATTGAGAGGCCCTGTCAATCATCTTCGAAGAGAATAAAGATTAAAATATGTGGCAAATATAATCCACCGTATCTTGGATTTTTTCAACATATGATGATTACTCTTTGTGGAACTTGTCCCTAAAAAGGAGAATAATATCATGGACATATACATGTAAACCAATAATTACCTATATATTAGATAAAAGTAGATAAAAGTAGGTTAATTCATAATATCTTCTATACAAGCTTTTTAGAAGCTTTATAGATGCTACTTTGACTTTATAAATGTCTATAATTGATTTTTTAGGTTAGAAACGTGGTCAATAAATTAGCCATGTACCACACATGTTGGTAGCTTGAAGAATAAGCTAATTATGTGATACACACATAGAAAACTTGTTTTATAAGCTAAGGCATGTGTCTTGCAAAGTCAACACATATTAGATGCCTTGTAGAACATTATTAGGTAGCTCATAGTTAGATAATATATATAGAAGCAAGAGTGAAGCCCTCTTCATTCTTATCAACTTCTTTCTTGCTTGTAGTTTAGATTTAAGAGTCTCTAATTTCCTTATCTTTTGGTAATTACTATTTCAATTTTCTTTTAATATACATACTATTTTATTTTTATTTTGTCACTTTTCTTTTTACATAGGTTTCATAGGTTTATGCATCTTTTCTAGTTCATGTCCTTGAGAGCTCAATAGCATGGGTTTCCATTGTTGTATTGTAATATAAGAACATGGTGAAAATATAATCAAAAATAAATTTTAAATTAATATCTAATCATCTTAGTTTAATTATAATTCAAGACATTTAAATATAGCTTTTATAAAAGCCTCTTGGTTTATTTTCTTATCTTAATAGCTAATAAATTAAAATTTGATTAATAATTTTAGCTTCTAGGCTATAGAAATCCTTTTATTGCCTTAAAAAGGCTATAAATTGATAAAAATAGGATAAGAGAGGTGAATAATTAGTATAATTAATACTAGAATTAAATTGAATGGCGTAGGGCTTGCTTTCATAGGATTTGGGATGACTTTGTAATTTTTGTTTAACATTGGTGACTTTGGATTTATGCGAATGTTTCGTTTTTGGTATAAGAAAATATCGAAAGTTGGTAGATTGGGATTGGGTAGAGTTTCTATAATATCTAAAGATCTACTAGTGACAACATAGTGAAATTTAGCATGGTATTAAAGGACTTGAAGATCAAGCTATACACCAATTTTGAACTAAAATTAATAATTGGAGAAGGAGAAATTACTATTGGACCATTTGTAATAACTTTTGATTTGGCAGCCAAGTAAAATTAGTGTGGTTTTTTAATGTTTTTTCACAATTTGTAAGTTAGATTGGATTGAATATTTTTTTGAATATATAAAAGACTTATAGTGGCATTTATAAGTGGAGGATCAAATTAGGAATTATAGCTTATTGAAGCTCATTGATTAGAGTTATGGCTTACAAAGAGAAGTTGAATTTGCCTAATTATGAAAGTAATAAGGCAATTGAAGTTTGTGTATAATTGAGATTATTGAAGAGAATATTTTTTAGCACTTTGTATTGACTTTAACCACTTTTAAATTCAAATTCAAATTCCTTTCTTCTTATATAGATGAAAGCTATTAGAGTTTTTTGGATACTTGTAAAATACAACTTCACCTTTCACAACCAAGTGCCCAATACATTTCCAAATAAGACAACATGTAATGAAACACTACTAGTATTATTATATTAAAATTAGAATATTTAAATATAAAAATAAAAAATAAGATAGAATTTTTTATATATTAATATATTATTATTAATAATTATTAGATTAAAATTATATTACATATACTATGAATGTTATAAAAATAAGATTACTTATTATTTATAAAGTATAGTTTTATGACTTAATCTGATTTTTATAAATCTAATGTATATGTATATATATATATATATAGAGAGAGAGATAAGAAGTTTGATCTATATTCAAAATAATGTAATAATTTTTTAAAATATTATTATTCTAAGCTACAAAGAAAATCTAGAATTCTAATAAATTTTAATATTTGTATCAGGATATGTATAACTGTGTTATTTTTATAACACTTCTAACATGTTTTACTTGTAATTAAATATAAATGATTCACAACCAAGAATATATTAAAAAACAGTTCTTATGACATGATTCTAACTTTGAACTTAAATATTTGCCTTATTATTTTTGCATTAAAAATTAATGTTATATATATTTTTAATTTAATTTTTTTATATGCATATATATATATATATTTATTTATATATATTTTCACTTTATTTTTTATACTGATGCATTTCGTTTTCTAATGGAGACCACATATTTTTCATAACAATCATATTCAAAACATCACATCTTTAATGTACAACTACATCCTTACAATATAGAATTATATTTTTCAGATTGAGAGTACTTGACATACTTACTTTGGCAACATTTAGTTTTAAATACAATATATTACTATTTAAATGCTCCAATGAACCTTTATACTTGACTGTCTAAAAAAGAGTTATCTATGTCAAACTAAGATAGCATATATCTGATCATGATGATACAGGAATTAGTATTTGTTCATTAACTTATCAAAATTAATACATTATTACAAATAGATATATTCTGAATAATTGGAAAAAAATTTGAATGCTGATTGAGTTATAAATGGATTCCATGTCCATCAATAATTCTAATTATCTTCCTTTAAATAAATTATTCATCAAAAATTACAGATGCTAGCATTGATGCATTTAAAATTAGCAATCTGTAAAACCTGATGCCCTTTTCTTTACTTGAAAGTTAGTATTGAGACTAACAAAATCTAGGCGGATGCATGGTTGGATAAACAAATACAAATAAACATTTCTCGCCTTAATTAAGAACTTGTTTATTAAAAATTTAAAAGACAGTATGAATAGAGTAGAAAATTTTGTAACATCACTTTTCATGATTTGAAATTATGCATGTTAAGTATATGCTTAATTGAATTAATTTCTTTTTCTATCTGTTAGAATATTCTACAATCATTTTAGAATTTTTTTGTAATGAAAAAATAATTGTAGAATAAAATAATTATCAATTTAATAAACTAGTTGGTTTACGCAGTGAATAAAAACACAATAATGGTTTATCCATTCATTGAATTCATTTTTGCAATTGTTGGTTCTAAACAAGTGAGTGTTTTGTGTGGATGTGGATTTAAATGATTTCTACTTATTCTATTATTTAAAAGTCAAACAAAACATATAATTAAAAAATTAAACTGAAAATTTCAGTATAATAAATATTAGTCAAGGAATTGTATTGAGGATGTTACAAGGGAGTTTTTTTTTTTTTTTTTTTTTTTTTTTCCTTTCTTTCTTTCTTTCTTTCTTTCTTTCTTTCTTCTAAATGACAAACATCTAATATGCCAATAATCTTATGAGACACTCTTCCTTCTTTTATATATAAAAATTCCACTCTTTTGTATGAAAAAAGTTCTTTCACAAATCTTTCTCAATAAGATAAATAAACACTTTAGAGCAATCTTAGAGTTTTACTTTGCATGCACCAAAGATATTCTTTTGATTTAAAAAAAAAAGAAGTGATAAAACGTGATATATAAATATTTATACATTAATGATGGTTGAATGTTGTTTATTTTCAATTTTGATTATTTTGGGTTTTTAACAATTGTTTAGTGTTTTTAATGGAATATATGTTCATGTGATTCTTTGTAACATTGTGAGTAGTGTGATCTAGTAGTATGCATCAGTAATTTGCTTTAAAATGCAACTACCATAATAAAACCAAGCACCCAAAACTACTTATCTATTATTAAAAATACACATAAGTAGTATAAATACTTAAAGTTGAGACAAACATCAACACTTGCCAACGATGACTTCAATTGAATATTAAACATTGAATTTTACGAATTTAGAAAAGATAAATCGTTTAAAAAGTGATTTATTTAAACTATTTATTTAATATGGTCTAGTTGGCCTTTACTGACGTGGCAGGGATCAATCAACCCCTACAATTGTGCTGACATGGCAGTAGTCGTTACACGGTAGTGGGGGGGGCGGGGTGGGTGGGGGCTGTGAGGGGAATGGGCTCCTCCGTCTTCTTCGTCGTCTTCCCTTTCCCGCCTTCCTCCCTGAGGCTGTATGTGCCCCTTCTTTCTACCATTTCTGCCTTTTACTGTTATTTATTATTGTTTATTATTCCATGCTTTGTTGCGGAGTGGTGCCATCGCCGCCATGGCCATGGCTATCTCGGACGAGACCCCCGTCCCGGTTCGCGACAGGGCTGCTGGTGCTGCCGATGATGAGGATGATGGTGGTGGTGGTGGAGGAGGGATCAATGGCGACGCGAAGGGGAACCAGACCTCGCACGAGATGGAGCGCATAGAGCCATTGCCGGACGTAGATGCAATCCGTGCGGCTCTGAATGGTGTCGTGGTTGAGAAGGAGCAAGTCCTCTTGGAGAATAGTCTGCTCTCCGACCATCTCATGGTGCTCCTCTACCCTTTCTCTTCTCCCTCTTTGACATTTCTGGATCATGTAGAGTTTGTTTTTTTTTTTTGTTTTTTTGTTTTTTTTTGTTTTTTTTTGTTTTTTTTTCCTTCTCTGCTGCCTGCTTTGAACTTGCACATATGAGAAGTGCCGTCGCGGCATGCAGATGCCTTCCTTGAATGTTGATTGCCCTAGCATAGAGATGAATTCCCTCTGCATGTGTGTGTGTGTCCGATTAGGGGAGTTTGTGAGTGTTGTATGAAAGGTTTCCTTGAATTTAACTGACTGGTGGCCTGGAAGGTTGCTGCAGCGACTCATGATGCGCTCGGGCAGCGGAGACAACATGCAAATCCAATTGGATTCGCTGGAGGAGCTCGACGAAGTCTACGAGGAGGTGGAAGAGAATCAAGCGTACTTCCGAGGTCGGATTTCTTCGTCGGGCATGTCGTTCAATATCCCGTCCCCAAGCTCCGAGGGTCGCCGGGAGTCCGGCTCTTATCGACTCCCGTGGATGCGCAGTTCTCATGAGATGGCGCAGGCATTGAGCATGGAGGAGCGATGCGACATTGCTGCGGCCGAAACCAATTTGAATAAAGAACAGATGAACATATACCGGTAAGATCCGCCGAGAATGAATCAGTTTCAAAAGTTTTCCCACGATTGGAATAATATTTAAAATATTTTTTTATAAAAATATTTAAAAATATAAAAATCATTCAAGGCTCCGTCAAGCAATCCTGAATGTTAATGAGTTGCAGGCAAGAAAGTGAGCGGATTTTGGACGAACTTCAGGCAGCGTATGACGAAGCAGAGTTAAGAATAGGCGAAATTCGAAGGGACGTCGCAGATTTTCACCGCGAAGTCATTGTAGAAGCTTCAGAGAGGGGCACCGAGACTGCCAGTTCTGAGCATGTGCTAAAGTAAGCGAGGCCATTGAATTCATTTGTGAAGGCAGTGTTGGTTGCCTAAGTTACCGTTTTCATGAAATAGCTAGCAGTCAGAACGACACATGCATTGTAATAGCGGTTGTCTCATAGCCAAGTAATGGCACAAGCGATGCAGGATGTTTCCAGCCACCAGCAAGAATAAGAAGCTTGTTTAGAGAATTCTGCATGCACAGATACACACCCTAAAGTCTTCAAAGTAAAGAACATAACCTCACAGCAGGTTTTTGCAGCAGAAAGTCAGGAAGACTCGGTCAAACACAGAGAAGCTGCGAGAGCGAAACGCAACACTTCAGGGGAACATCGCGAAAACCGAGGCAGCCCTGGAAATTAAGAAAGATCTGTCAGATGTTCTGCATGCAGTCGACTTTGATCAATTAGCCATACAAAAACAGCAACTTGAGGCCCGTCTTAGGGATCGTGAAAACGAGGTTTTTCGATTGAAGAGAGAGAATCTAAAAACGGAGAAGGTATCGCCATTATTGCCAAGCAGTCCTCGATTTCTCTTTCAGCATAAATGGAGAGTGCTCATGTAACTACGTCATTGCACCCCCTTCTATTACCAGGGAGATGAGTGCTGGAATCGCTAATCAGGATGATGATGATGATGATGATGATGATGATGTTCAGGCACTAGAAAAGACCCATTCCCAGCTGAGAGTGCTTTTCGAAGAATACAATGTCATCAAAGCAACTCTACTTGAGCGACAGCCTCAGCTTCACCGTGTCAGAGAGGACACGGCCAAAGCCATCGCGCTGAAGGTGACTAAGGTCTTCAGAGTTACTGCATTGAGTAGATGATACCATGCAGAACGGAAGCAACGGTATTTTCTGAGCACTGAATTGTGAGTTGACATCCACAGAGGAAAATGCAAGAATCGTTGCAACAGTTTATGAAGGAACGAGAATCTTCGAGTGGCGAGAAGAAGCCCACTGCCATGGAGTATCTGGACTTGAAGAAGAGGGTGGCGATTTTGCAACAGAAATCGCACGCAATGCAGATGAAGGTGCTATCTCCTTTCTCCTTTCCCCTCACCACCTCCTCTCCCATCGACCTTTTGGAGACATGGTTTCGCAAGCCATTGCATCTCAGTTTAGAACGAATCATCAAAATAATTCACCGTCTTTGCTGGTGTGTGTTTTTTTGTGTGTAGGTGGGCGTTGCAGATCTCACAGCAACTCAACTGGGTGTCAAGCTTTGCAAAGCCATCAAAGCCTGCAAGGAGTGACTTCTCGTCATTGTGCCAGCAATTTAATTTATTTTTTTAAATTATTTTTATCTTTCGTTCTCGTAGTCTTTTATTTTTTAAAAACATTTTTGCATAGAAAGCAAGGTTTTCCTCTCGTTCAGAACTGTGTGTTTTAACACCGACATGATGGAACGAATCTATTTTGCATTTTCTGCAGTGATATCTTTGTTATGTTTTTTTGGTGCCGTGTGTTGATTATTTTTAAGCTACCATCTTTGTTACCAATGGATGCAAGAATTTTGGAGTAGGAAAAAGGATGTTACTATTTAGGAGCATCTTTTGAATGAGCCATTTAAGAACACATGAAACAACTTGTGGTGGGCATTGTAACTGATTTAACTGAAATTTATCGTTCATTTTAGTTTAGTTTAGTTGTTTCTATGGATTGGGTTCTACTGTATTGATTGATAGATTTAAAAATAAATTCGGGTCTCTTGCAATTATTGGATTAAAATATGGTTAATTAGGACATTGATTTTATAATAGTAAATTGTTTCATCGTTCATTCGATTTCCATTGTCATCTTCATCAAGAAGCTATAGTGTAAGAATTCTACTTACATGCAGTCCTGAAATCTTCAATACCATTGTATTGAATTTATTGCTAAGCAATGAAAGTTTTGAGATTACAGAAGAGGTTTTCATTCTTCCAAGCAATCGATTGATTACCAATTGATTTAGGTTCTGTACATCTTTGGTTTGGTCTTAGTAGCATGTGTCAGTCAAATAGTTGGAAATGTTAAGAAAGAATTAAAGTCTATATGACAATTCCATTGTTCTAAAATGTATATTAACGAGAATACAAACAAGAAGAACTTAAATAGAATGTAAGATTCAATTTAAATTTCAAAAAACTTGTAAATAATTATACATCAATCTGAAAAGAGATATTATCATAAAGATTATTACTCTTGTTTAATTCTTCTTTAGTATGAAATTACATTGCTTTATAGATTTACAAAATAGCAGTTGTTTATTTTCCTCTCTCATTATAAAAAGCTGTATCTAAGTAGTTTCAATTTAAAATCTACTATTAATTAACTAAAAGAGATAAATTTGAAAAACCCATTGTAGAAGTTTTGGTTTGCTTTGGTTTCATGAATCTATTAATGTGGATTCAAAATAGATTAATAGGAAAAGTGCATAGTTTTATATATCAGAAAATAATCACAGTTTTAGTAGATATATAGATATATATATATATATATATATATATTTTAATGTACCTTTAGCAATTATAGTGCACAATGCAAACAATATCCATTTTATTTCATTCGATATTCTTTTAAAGCTTGGTTAAGAAGTCTAATAAAACAAATTCAACATTCTAATTTTTAATTAAATTACTGTTAGAATTTCAAGTGCATATTTATTTTGACTTTAAGGAGAGAAGTTTGAAATTTGAAACTAACACACAACAGTTATTGATGTAAATTCGGAGACAATTCTAAAATAAAGAAACAGAAGTATTCAGATTGTAAGCAGAAATCAAACTTAATCATGCTTGTAATGGAAACAAGTACAAAAAAATTAGATTTAGTTTTTGGGTGCCTGATTAATTCAAACAAAAAATTGACTTCAAAGCACTGCATGGTTGCAAGGTTTTAGATGCTATATTTAAACAATGATTTTTAGGGGAAGGAAGTCATTGATTCGGTTGAAAAATGTTGGATAGAACAGTGATGCAAAAAAGTGGTCACACAATATAATAAATAAATAAATAAATCATAATAAATAATTTAATTTACATATTGTAGTAGCATTTTTTGAACCACTGAAAGAAAATGAAATAATCAAAATGATAAGCAATTGTTGTAAAAGAATTTTAAAAGAACCATCATACATGTTATGTGAAAATGGTTCAATTGGATGGATATATTCAGTTTTAACCATATATTTTACATGAACTTTATTATATATATATATATATATATATATGGTACTATTAATGCCACCATAATTTTTGCTATTGCCACTACAACCCATCAGTCACTTCACCATGGTTTTTTCATTTTTTATTTCTTTCATACCAATCAAACAGTTCAAAAGGTATTAAATTAAAAAATTGATTTGAAAGGTTTTGAACAAAGGTGGTATAGGATGGATGGAGGGTTGTGATAGCAATAGCAGAAAATGCGGTGGCAAGATAAAATTTATATATTTATATATATATATATATATATATATGTATACATATATTTTTGTAGTACAATGTAAATTTTGAATATGATTTATGTTAGTTTTTCAATTCCGATTTGAAAATTTGTCTGTACTGCATTCATTGTTCGATTTTTGTTTATGTGATACTCTAAAATTGTGGATGGTTTGTGAATTTTCTTTATTTTACATAAAAAATGACAAAAATAAACAATTATATGTATGTATGTATGTATATATATATTTATATATATATTTTGTGACTAAATCTATGTAGTACTTCATTTTTGATGGTTGCAAACTCCTAATTGTCTTCACTGGTAATAGAAAGTAGCACAGAATTATCACAAAATAATTGCATGATATTTTTCTAAAGTAAACCCTAATACAGTTTTGTAATAAAGACTAAAGGCACCAAAGAACACTCACAAGTACAAGTTAAACCAAACATTATGCAGAAAGACAAATTAAAGTAAATGACGGAACTTTTGGAGTTTCACGACAAAGTTTATAAGAATAAAAGCCAGGACGAGGTGCATGATTAATTCATTAAAAATACAAAAATACTGTTCTGGTGTTTCTTCACTTGTAGAATGATTCCAAAAATGTAATTACATTCTGCATTCAATCTTGTTAACGCAAAACAAAACCTTGAATAATCGCATATCTCAAACCCTATTAACATTTGCATTTTGATTTATTTGTTGTTGGAAGTTGGGATTGGTCATGGGAGTCATTCCAGTGTTCACGGTCATAGGAGTCTCTACGGGGGTCACGGTCATGGGATTACTTCGGTCACTTCGGGCTCTGGGGTTGGGAGTCTCCTTGGGTCCCTAAAACCGAGAGATAGAGAGAGAGCGAGAGAGATAGAGAGAGGGACGCGTTCACACCGCCGACGAGCTCCGGAGCTCTCCTCCTCGTTGGTTTCGTAAAGCCTTCGTAGCAGTAGCAGCCGCACTTGACTCTCTCCTCTCCTCTGAGGATTCAATCCCCTCCAATTCCTATTCCTGATTTCTCATTTCTCGATTTGCTTGTGTTTGCGCAATGTGTGTGTGCGCACAGCTGTGCTTGTTGTTCTCACTGCATCGTTGCATTATTATTCTCCGCTTCGAATCATCATCCTGCTAGCATTTGCAAGAGCAATCCTCACTCACCATGCATGCTGCTTCCACCTTCGCGCGTCTTCGCTGTGTGCCACAGCTTTGTCGGGCTTATCACAGTGCCGGAGGACGATGCTGCCACGATGGTGGCCCCGCGCGGTTTGTGAGTGTTAGGAGGGACGAGTTTGGAGGGAGTCCGAAGCGGGATATTGCGACGTTGAGGGTGACCAGTGGTAGAATCGCTGCGAGGCGTGGAGACGGGGAGCAGCGCTTTCCTGTTGGGGAATATGGGGAGCGGATTGTGGTGTCGTCGTATGAGGACCAGGAGGAGGATGATGACGAGGATGAGTTCAAATTGGAGTATGAAGAGAATGGGTGCGTCCTTGTGAAGAGTTCGTCCAAGACTTTGGAGGAGGAGGAAGATGACCGTGGGGGTTTCTTATGCTGCGACTTTACAGGTTGATAAACTTCTTGATTTCTAGGATTCCCCGGTTGAGAAACTCCTGAATGGCCCCGTTAGCTGAGAGAGAACTGCGAAAGGAAATTGAAAGTGTGAATTGGGTCATTTTGAGCAGTGGCTACAACTTGCATGAGATCTGTCGGATTTTCAGATTATTCCAGTGCAGAGAATTTTAAGAGTATGGCCAGCGGTAAATGAAGTTTTGGGTATGCAATTGTTCGTACAGGTTGCTATTTTTCAGATGAGCCACCGGTAGAGAGGGCATTTGAAGTGATCGAAGGAGAAGGATGGCGACTTGGATACGAAACTGCACCAGAATCAGTAGAAAGCTTCTGCGCTATTGTAAGGAATGCGAGAACATATCACTTCGGGGTTGCCGAAATCGTAATTTTCTTTGCGTCTCTTCGGCGGTACACTCATCTTTATCTGTTCTTGTTCTATGGAAACTGATGGATGCCGATGGACACTGCGATGAGAAATTGATGGGTGCCCCAGTTGTACTTAGCTAAATTTGCAATAGGGTTCTCGAACATGAGTAGCACCAATCGATTGTAGTACTGAATTCGGGTTGCAAATGTGGCTGTGGCAGGTTGGAGCTGGGGGATGGAGCCTCGCTCTAACAGCATCGGAATTCAATGATTTTTGCTACCTTATACAAGTACCGTGGCAGTAGATCGATCACCTCGTACTTAATCTTTGTCATATATATATTGGACTAGAATACTCGATTACTTCATGCGGATAAGTTTACTTGTGAACGGTGGGCTCCTGCAGATCTTGAGAAATGCCATCTCAACTGTTGACGAGGATAAGTTCTTAGGAAAGGACGAAGTTGTTATACGGGTAATTTATTTTGGTCCTGTGCTGGAGAACTAAGCAGTCGGATCGTCATTCTCTTGGAGAAGAGTCTGATTTCGCAAGTGAGATTTTCCGTTGCCTGTGCAGGGCCTCAACAGCACGAGCAGTAAAAGTCACAGGGTTTTCAGTTCATAGAGCACAAACCAGGGTCTGACCTTACACTGCTGTGAAATTTTATTCAGATGGAGAGAGGTTGCCTTTGGATGGCGTGCGTTATACCTAAGAAGAGAGTTGCAATGTTCCAAAAACTCGCCATGGTATTTTAACATTTTCATATAGTTCATTTGAGTTTAGGGTCCACATGGAAGCTCTTTCCTATGGACGCGTGCTGATGGCATCAATTACTTGAATCATGACAAGTTAAGTATTCTAAGATGTAGAGTGTTTTATTAGATCTCCTAGATTAAGCTGCGAATGTTAACCTCAAAGGGTGAATACATATTTTTATCGGTTGAATTTCACTGGCATGGTTGAATTTAAGAAGCGATAGGATCAAAGGACTTTGATTATCTGACTGTGCGCTACGCCATGTGGTGAGCAGCTTGGACATAGAGGTCTTCTTGAAAGCCAACACAAGGCTGCCTTTGAGCTACGGTTTATTCTTTCCGGTGTATCAGGCAGACGACAGGTTAGAGCTCCTTTTCCTTACTTTCCTTCTCCTCCCTGCAACTTGTTAGTTTTTTCCTCGCTACTTGAATCCCGTGCCGCATTCTGGGCAGATCCTAAAATGATGCTACTGTTAGGCAGGGTGATCTTTGGATGATTAAGATTCCTCGATACGATTGAAGTTAACTCGAGTCTCACGGACTCTGTAGTTCAAGAAATAAGCAACTGTTCGGTTGCACTTTTGTTTGTTTGGATTTATCGTGGATACTGCGATGCTGTTTGAGCCTTCACACCAGCCTGCGTAATGTTTTTGGTGGTAAAAGCGATTTTTTATCATGTAACTGTCACACAGGCTGAAGGATTCTGGCCATCTGAGGCTGTGATGGACATGCTCAAGAAGATCGATGCAAAGAACCTCGAACTGGAGGAGCAGATTGCCCAAGTACAAAATTTTGCAGCAGACAGACTTGCATAGTAGTCTAGCTCGTTAAGTTCCTGCCAAGAACAATCAGTAACAGATCTGCATTTCTGGCAACTAATTGGAATGCTTAACATGCTATCTCCTTGCGGGGGCAGGATTGTCCACACGACCTGTCCGCTTTCTGTACATTTCCTGATTCTCAGGTGTTTCTCTAGTATCACATTTAATCTGTACTTGTTGCTTTGCCACATTCTACAGTGATGCACAAGTGGACTTGGATGCAGCTCTCTCTTTTGAAGCGTTATCAAGCGTCTGAGTCTCTCCATTCCCAACTTGATTAGAAATCGCTGCTCTGGATTTAACTGGTTTTAGTGCCTGACACCTAATCGTATGCGTGGGTTTCGGAACCTTTGCTTCCAATTTGCGAAAATGGCAGAGGATGAAATTACAGGGTTTTGTTTTTATAGCCTCAGGCTGTCGAAAGTGAAAAAAGTGAGCTTGGATGGGTCTATAATAACTACAGAGAGCACCTCAAAACCCACTCTTCTGGTTGCAACCTCCTCCCCCCCCGCCCCCCCACAACTATTTTGTCATTTTTAATTCCAAGTAGTGGGTGCACACATTTTGGATGTTCAATTTCTTTTGACCAGATTGACAACTCGCCAAGTCCAATTGTCAGATTGAAAGCGTTGTCTTTATATCATATTTTCAATAATATTTCATGTTCCTTTTATTCCCCAAAAATGAAACCATAGGCCTTTCTATTGATTTTAAGGAGGATTGACCGTTAAATCTTTTTGGCAAGTAGTTTCTTCATTCAATTTTGAAGTCTCTCTCTCTCTCTCTCTCTATATATATATATATATATATATATATATACACAGAGCAGCCATTTCTTCTGCAATTTATTAATTGATCTAACGATTGTTTAAATAAATAAGGGTTCCGTGTTTCTCTGTCTATTTGCTAGATTCTTTCATCACTGAGATTGATTCAAATCAGTACCAAATCAACTTTGTTTGTTTTTCAAGAAACTATTACTCACCAATAATTAAGTAGCAAAAGTATTGATACGGTTTTATTTATTTACAATATAAAAATTATTGCAATAATTTAGCACCACATTTTACTTTAATTCAAAACATAAGAAGATATTCATTCATGCTTTTAAACATTATTTTTATTTATTTATTTATTTATTTTTTTGCATTACATACGACTTATTTTTGCTTACATAGAAATACACAATACAATCTAAAAATACAAAGAATGTAAAGAATATTTAAAAAATCTTATGAATATTAGGGAAGGGTGCCCGAGCCTGGCCTGGCCTTAGGTCCGGAGTGGAAGTGCCAGCGTGGCATAGGGGCAATGTAGGCGGGAGCAGATTTCAAACAAGATGGATTGTGGCGGGGGCGGGGCAGAGTGCGCTGAATTTTGCAACTGAATTGGCGGATGCCCCGAGGACCCCCGAGGTACTTCTTTAGCTTTCATTGCGCGTTGAGAGATCGATCGATCGTTGTTGGAGCGAGTCGGTGGGCCGCACGTGAAGGAGTTTGCACAAAATCGTTTAGGTAACATTGTGGTTGGATTGAGTTGAGTCCTCCTTTCCTTGTGATCGCACGGAGGAGTGAGAGCTTTTGTGAATGAGCCGTTTTGTGCAAGCTTTGTGTTCCGGCTTAGCCACTCGCATTTTACGACACGACGTCACGCCGAGGGTTCCTGCGTGCATTTTTTGTGCACTATATTTGTATCGTTCACCATCAAGTATCTCAGACCAAGCGCCGGTGTATTATTTAGTATTGGTGATCAAGATTCTTGGAGTCGCGGAGTAAGTTTTGTGTTGAGATTGTCGCTGCGAAGAATTGTCATGAGGATCTGTAGATTTTTTTTGACGAATTTGACTTCGACATCTGAAAAATTGGTCGTCACCATGACATCGATCGGTTGTGTTGCATGAATTCGGTCACGTCTACACCGTTGTGTGAGTGGAGTATTTTCTTTGCAAAATATCTGAATAACAAATTGCAATCAGAACTTCGAATGATTACCCCGCACAATCGAGTACTGAAAACTCTATGACCATGTCCTGCCTACGATTGATTGCGTATGCCTCTCTTAGATGCTCCTGTGTTCTGTTATTTATGCAGTGGACTTTGAGCTGGTCAATTTATTTTTGCGCTTCTCCTCACACAATCATCACATCTCTGCAGTTATAACTATGATAAGCAAAGGCTGCTTTTGTTTTAGCACTGACATGTTTGCGTTATTTTCACGTTTACAGTAAGCATATCACACTCACAGCACTCTAGCTAAGGGAAATGCGAACGCAAAGAGCTCATAATCATCCAATCTTTACAAGGAAAATATTGGGACACATTACACACTTGCTCCTTAGGAACCAAGCTGCCTAGACTGGGAGGAATGGCCGACAGCGGCAGCGACAAACCAAGATCACCTGAGAACGACCAGCACCCAGACAATGAATCCGGAGGAGTGCAACTCCAGGATCACGATACTATTGTCATAGAGCAGGAGCCATTAATACCAATAGCAAGTGTAGTTCGAATCATGAAGAAAATATTGCCACACAACACTAAAATATCAAAGGAAGCCAAGGAGACAATGCAACTGTGTACATCCGAATTCGTGAGTTTCATCACTGGTAAGTCGATGCTGTGTCATCCCCTTCGTACTATTGGATTGTAATTAAGAAACATAGTATTGGACAGAATCAAATTCATTGTCCAGCTTGAAACAGCGATCAACGGTGGCAATAGTCGATGAAGCAGTTCGCATGAGATAATGTGATAACATTGTGTGTTGTGTTGTGCTGGTTAAGTTGAGTATCTTTGAGGCGTCACTTGCATCGTCCAATTGACCTTGCGAAGTTGTATGGTACGCAATTGAAGTCGTGAAGTGGGTTTAATATGAATATATACATATATATATATATATATATATATATATTGCTGGAAATGAACTTTTCCCACAATACGACAATCATGTAGTCGTGGTACTCTCAGTATGATGGAAAAATAGGCAGTTAATATCGGCCTTCGGAAATCCTACACTTTCATCTCGATTAGACTAGAGTTCCATATTTTTTGGATCTACTGCAGATGAGGCGTTTGATAAATGTCAGAGAGAGAAAAGGAGGACAATCACTGGAGACGACGTGCTGTGGGCCTTTCGTAGTCTCAATTTTGATGACTACGCTGAGCTCCTTGAGATTTACCTGCAGAAGTACCGGCAGTTCTTAGAGGTTAAATTCGGAATTCAGTCCGTAGGAATGGAAAGCAATCTTAGCAATGAAGAAGGACTTAGATTTGCAGGCCTATCAGATGGAATGAGCGGCGACATGAATCAGGAAGGGGTTACTGTGCCAGCGGAGCTGATGCTGCACTCGTATGGGAATGAGCCTTCTCCGGAGATGATGTATTACTTGCATCACATGAGGCCGCCATACTAAATGCCGATTCCCTCTGGCGGTAGTCACTTTTGTGGGTTGTCGAAAGGAGGGCCAGTGGTGGACGTGTTGGGAATAGGATACCGGGGTTGCAGATAGCCGAGTCTAGAAGGAGACGGTCAGGCTGTAGAACTAGGGGGTGTTGAGGGGCCGAGAAAAGGACTGCTCGATGGGGTGTAGCGCAGCATGAGGACCAATTGGTGCAGTTGCGATGTCGTGACCGAGCAGTCAAGTATACTTTGGCGCGTGTATAGTGATTGTAAAGAAAGCGGTAACGCGACGGAAGCTGGTGCGAGCTTATACGCGAAGGAGCAGCAGTTGTATGATCTAAGGCTGCACTGGCAAGTCATCGTCGGATCTGAACGAAGGTGCCTGTGGACGTGTGCTGGGTCCTTCGTGTTGTGACAAAAATTAAATCTTCTTCGATTGTTCATCCTTTTCTTAATTTTGTGTGAAAACGCTCTTTACGATACAGGGATAGAAGATTAAAAAGGGCAGAGATAGGGATTATTTTATACCGAGTTTTTTGGGCTCATTTTAGGCCAGATGTACTTCGAGGGTGTGAGGGGGGTTGAAGAATGTTGTCATCTGTTGTTACTTTTTCAGCAGACTTTACATCTTCCTAGTTTTAAAATATGGGGCAAGGTCGCATGCACTGAGAGGACAGTGCGATAATTGAATTTAGTACAGCATGAAACTGAACCGAACTCTATATTTGAACTAGATATTCTACCTGTGTTGTTTGTCTAAAATAGGTACGAAGAGCATATGTGGTTTTGATTTTGGTTTTGACTAAAGACTTTTTAGATTTGTTACCATAGCCACTTCTGTATTACTATGTGCTTCAGTAATTATACTAAAATAATCATCTGTAATTATAACAATATTTTTAAATGATTTATTTATTTTCATTCCCATGTTTGGTTGGTTTCATATGATCAGTACATTTAAAAATAATAAGTAATGTACTATTCTAAGTAATAAAAACTAAGCTATCAAACTTATAGCATGCATCATGTCAGTGAGCACATTAATAAATGGTTGTGATTCACATTCAAATGAATGCTAGCTACGTAAAATGCAAATACCTTCATTCAGAAGTTCCGTTTCAAACAAGGAAGTCAACTCGTTTTGCAATTCACGTATAATCGATTCTGTGGGAGAGCCAGCACCCATCAATCTCACTCTAATGCAGCACAGTAACACACATTCAATTGAAACTGTAGGAAAACGCTGCATATTAACACCCATTTGAGAACTGGCAGATGAGCACAAAGAAGCTCTTTTTCCAACAACCCTTAATCACACACAACCCACCCACACACGCACCATTCCCTTCAGCAATTTGCAACATAACAGTTTTGTGGGTGTCATCAAAACTCACGGTTTTGCATGGAAGCTAGGCTCGGAGGCAGCATCCACGAGGTGGTATTGGCAAGAGAAGGCATCGGAGGAGGGCATTTGCCGAGGAAAGCACGAACTGGACCATGCGAGGCGATCAACATGGAATCGAACAACACACACTGGTGTCCTGGAAGCCATAAAGCTGATCACACCGTGGCAGCTGCTCACCGAGTATTCCTGGTTGCAGGGCGACTTCGACATCAGTCTGTGGTAGAACTTCCTCGGCATGGTTGCCACCACCTTGAACTTCTGAAACGCTTGCTCGTGCTCATCCAGCACCATCTCCACGACGTACACTGTGATCGCCGCCACTGTGGCTCTCGTGGTCGCGAAGATCCTCAACGGACCCGCTTGTACAACCTTAGGCGCTTCGAGAGGCATGGAGCGCGGAGGATCGCTAATGAAAAACGGGATAATGAGCTTCTTCATTTTAGCATGATCGCTGATGTTGAAATAGTAGACGCATGGAGTTAGGGGGTTTGTAGATGTTGTGTGTCGCGGAGTATTCATACCCCCCACGAACACTCCGTGACCGATCGTTGCAACGCCTGAGTTGCCCATGCTGCAGAGCGAGCTCGGCCTGCCTCGAATTTCATCGCCGTAAATGTAACACCTTTCCTCGGAGCAGTATACGAACAAAGCTATCGTCTCTCGAGTTTCGCCCATGTTGGTCTGTAGAGCGCATTTTGTGCTTTTGTTCCTCGACTGATGGAGTTGAGGTCCAGCATCGATCTCCACATCCCATCCCACCAACACCAGCACATATGAAGTGCGTTCCTTGTTCCGCCAGATGAACCTTCCGATTTTGTTGTGCATCAGTCGCCCCGGAATCGGTGGTAAGATAATGTATTCTCGTGTCAGAGGATTCGCCACAAACACGATAGATTGACCGCTTCTGTATATCTCCGGATGTTTCCAAAACCTTTCGTTCGGTGTTTGCTTCACTCCTTCCACGGACAGTTTTCTGTTCAATCCTTGCTGTCCCGCACTAATCACAAGCAATCCTACAAACATGGGAAAAAGAAAACAAGCGAGGAAGGAAGAAAAGATTTCAGATATTGGAATACATTAATAAATGGAGATCCCTCTTGATGAGTGTGTGTATCGCATGTCTCACAGGTCCCTTGGTTCTTCTTTGACATAATTCTTCCTAGGATTGGACTACAACTTTTGTGAAGAATGTTTGCAAGTCGTCATTATGAAAACAGAAAATTGTGTTGAGGCGTTAACTGACCTGCGGATCCAGCAATGATTCTTCTGTTGTTCAAGCTTTCGTGCTCGGGAAGGAAGTCTATTGAAGGCAACGAGGTCCAGTCTCGATTCTCATCTCCTGTGCCATGCTCGTCGTTATATCCCACCAGCAGCCAAGATTTAGAGCCGTTGGGTTTCCTGTTCCTCGTTTCAAGCACCAGCGGATGATAAACGAAGTATGTGTTTGTGTCGGGGTCGGCAAACATGCTTCCCGGTGCCCACACAACCAATTTCGTGAACTTTGCGTTCTGTGTGGGTACAAGCGGAGGCTTGTTGGCGCTCAGATCTGTGACGTGCTCCCAGATTATATCCATCATATCATGTCTGCGCAGGTTCTGTGCGCACATTCTCAACTTAAGCATCGAGCATCGATCAGTAACCTCGCAACATGCAGGATTGTGAGCTGCAGAGGTGAAGTTGCTCGCGGTGCATAGCCAAGCACGGATGCGCAGCGTGCAGAGATCGAAAGGTTTGAGGGCAGCACCTGAAATTCTCGCCCGAATTCGCCGGGAGTGATGAGGTCCCGAGCATTCGGAAACGAAAGAATCCCGTATTGAAGGCCAGCTCCGGCCCATTTCTCACCCCCCGGCACAATTGCATCCCTAGTTTTGGAACTCATGGTTCCACTAGGCGAGGCCCACTTGGGTAATCGGCATTGTGCAATGGCCACTTTGTCGCTTAAAATCCATGGAGCTCGTGATCTTTCATCCCTACCTCCTCCCTCGGAATCCATCTTCACCGCCAACTCGTTGACTTCTGCCATCGGCATTTCCGTTCACCGACAGTCGGTGGTGTCGGTTTTCGGGAGCTGGCAAATTGTCTTGCACTTCAGGTATTTAGGTCTCTGGGCTTTGCTCCTTCTTCTTCTTCTTCTTCTCCCTTTTTTTCTTATCTGATTTATTTACTGGGGGTTTATATGTGCAGAATCGTGGATGGAATGTCGTCAGATTGATATCATCCAGCAAATGTAGAGGGAATGGAATGACACCGTGTTTTTATTAACTTGAAGTTTCCCCTAAATGGAAACTTTGCAATAAGATTTCACTGTGAAGTCAATACAAGTTCCAACAAAGAACTATGAATTATCTCATCAAGTTGATCACGTTCCATTCCAGCAATCATGTGCATGGTAAAGTAAAATGATGGTTTGATCACTGCATCTTCAAAACTAACATTGTATTTTGAATTTTGCTAGCATGGTGTATTTTTCCTATGTGGTTTAAAACCCTGCGACCTCAATGGATTTATTTGTATAAAACACAAATTACTGTAGTCTATGTGAAGAAAAATTAATATTATGCTTTTAAGATTGTAATGGATTGAAATACAACTTTTGAAAGGTTCAAAATAATCAGAAGTTCTAAAGCATGAAAAATCTGCATGTTTTGGAGAAAGTGTAGATAATTTTTGAATGTCCCGTTTCAATGTTGTGATATTGCAATCAAGAAACAAAAAGGTGCAACTTCTCAATTTATAAAAGGTGAAACGAGGATAATTTTTAACGTTGTAATAATCATTCGATTGCTAATTTAATTATGCACATTATTGTTAAAAAGAAGATAGAAAAGGCACATATATTATTTCTCATATATATATATATATATATATATATATATGAGAAAATATTATTTCTCATATATATATACATATAGTATATATATATATATATAATCATTTTTATTTATGCGAAAACATTCACATACTTCAAAAAATTCTCATGTTTTGCAAACATCATTTATTAAAAAATCACAAACAATCCTGCTTTTATGATAACTTCAAGAGATTGGGATAATGTATGAATGTTCACCTATTCATCTGTTTGCGCATCAAAACACAGAGTTGGTCATTTTGAGTTACCTCATTCAATTTCATATTTGGAAAAAAAAAGGAAAAACAATAAATATCACAAAATACTGTACTTCGTGATTTTTTCATTCCATTAAAAAAATTAAAAAATTTGAATGTAAAAATATTTATACATCATGTCTGTTTCAATTTGTATTTGTTTCAATTACAAGAAAAGATATCAATGAACACTTTATTTTTTTATTTTTATTTCATGATTTTCTTTTTCCTTATTTCTTATTTTGGAATTCAGAAATGAATAGAAATTTATTCTCATCACAGGGTCTTCAAGTTTTTGACACACACACACACACAGGTTATATCTACAGTGGAATTTGGTCAATGTAGTTATTCAAAAACAGAACAGTGTGCAAAATAATGTTAAATCAGTGTATTTTCAAGCATTATCATGTGGCATGCATTCTGATTATGCTATTGAAATGTATATGCTGCACTCCACTTATGTTAGATAGGTAGATAGTGTAAGAAATTTTGGTTTGTCTGCAAATGTATCAAAAGATCATTGTGTTCCAGATATGAATGATGCACATTTAAAATATTATTTTATTTTATTATGTTGTTGCTTATATTCAGGCATTACAATTTCGTAAACAGAGGAGAGTGAGATCTTATTTATATTTATTAAACTATTATTGTAGACATGTTTATTTTTTTCTGCATTCATTACAATGAATCATTGAATCTGACGAACAAATATGTAATAACATCTTTGGAAGTGACGCAACAAAGAAATTCAAGGAGTTAAGAGTTGTTGTACACCAAAATAGTGTCTTGAAATAACAAAGTTCTGCTCAACATTGTGGAAAAACGACTTTGCGAAAACAAATTATTTTTACACTGAAAAGCTGAATCAATGGTTTTCTCAAAATCGACTGTGGTTTTCTATCTGATGATACACTATTTCAAGCTATTAAAATAATTTGCACGAAACAATAACGAATTGATCATAATTTTTGATACTTGAGTTTTCTTATTCAACTGCAAGAATTTTAAATGAACTGAGAAGTGTTACATGTTTTATCAGTTAAATACATTTCACTCATAAAATGTGCAATGCTTCTCAATTTATTTAATTAAAAAGATTATTTTGTTAAAATTTTGTGAAAAAATTTGTTAACATATTATCTTATAAAATCCATCATATTTATACCAAAGATGTATTTTAAAAACTCTAGGCGCATACTATTCATATTGCAGATTTTTTTAAAAAAATTCTCATGGAAATGAACTGCAAGTTTCTCATAATGAATAATGTTTTTTTTTGTTAATTTATATTTTGAAATACCGGTTTTATATTGATTAATATTTTTAATATACATTACAAATAAAAAATTCAAATTAGAGATTAGAATTTTGACCATCTCAATAAGTTAATTATTTTGACATCATGAATAGTTTCGTATCTTATTTTTTTCAACATAAATATATCAACGGTCAATTACATCTTGTAAAGATGTCAATAATTGCTTCGATTTTCTAATTGCAAATAACTTATACTAATTTTTAAAGTTTCATTCTTTTATTTTTAAAATGTTAATACTATACATGTTTTTAAATGCTTACGTCTCCTCAAATTAAAATTTGAAGTTGTTTCTGGGCTTCTGTTACAATTCACCAACATTCTCAAATATTGTCATTCTTTACATCATTATACTAACATCTTTGCAAGAAAAGTAAACAACAAAAAGTTTACATATATTTTAGGAAATAAACAAAATAAAATAGACAAACAAAGTATAAACCTTTGCAGTTCTTATAACAAAGACACATCTTTTGCATTCAAAATGCATATGTCTCCTCACATCAAAATTAAAGTTATATTTGTGCTCTAAAGAACCACTCCAATTTCTGTACTAAAGATGCTAAAAGTCCTAAAACAAAATACTTTAAAATTGGTTGTTTGCCTTTGGCATTGTCAACATTCACTTAAAAAATATATATTTATCTATACATATACAACAAATGATATTCCTCTTTTTATTTTTCCGTATTTTATTCGTTTTCTTGTTGGTGGTGGCAAAAACTCCACCTTTAGGGATACATCGTTCCAAACTAAATCTAAAACTGCAGCATTTTGTCAATACCTATTGCTACCCATCCAAAAGAACAAGACCTCAAACGAAAATTCAGAAGGACTAGAGCATCTTGTACACCACCACAAGTTCATCACAGACAATAAATTTATCACCCATGTCTGCATTTGTGCTTTTGTTTTGCGTAGAAGCCTTCTTATCAACTGTGAATTTAGGGCTCACAAATGTCCCGGTCCAGGACTGAGACGATTGTGAGGGAACTGCAGGACGTCGTCGATGCCTGTGAGTAGTGGCCTCCTGTTCCTCCTCCTCCTCTTGCTCTCTTTACGTTTTTCCTGCTCTCGTTTCTTTGCTCATTTGCAATGCTTCATGCTCCCGTAATTTTTTTGTGTTTGATGTTGTCTTGTTTTCTGAGGTATTTAACTGAATTTTGCTCCATGTGGGGTGAACATGGTTTGATTGGGTTGGTTTCTGACGCTTACTTTCTTCATTCACACCTTTCTTCTTTTTTCTGCATGTAAACATACATTGTTATCAGTGGGCGAACCTCTGCGTCAGAGTTTCCAGGTACTTTTCAAGGTTCCTCTGGTGTTCAGGATGAAGAATTGCTCGAATTCTATGACATTGAATGCATGGAACCCCTCGCTGGTGTTTCTACGGGGGGGGGGGGGGGGGGGGCGATGGATGTTGAGAATGCTTTTTCCATTCAATGCAGAATATGCATGGTGGTTATCCAGAAGCCACTCTGGAACGATTCCTCAGAGCAAGAGACGGCGATGCTACGAAAGCGAGTAAAATGGTGAGCACAGAATGTCCTTTGGTGTAAGTAGCGAGCTATGATTCATTTGAGCTATGGGTGAGACCAAACCTGAGCATATTTTGGTTAACCGTTTGCTTGTTTGTTGCGCAGATTGTGGATTGCCTGAATTGGAGAGTCAAAAACAGGATTGACAATATCCTTGCGGTAAGGCTACCATTTACACTGGCTGACAGTAGGTGGTCTGAGTTTCGTTTATTGCTCACGTGCTCTCTGTGCATTGGTTCCTTGCAAACCCTCCAATGACCGGCAGATCATCTGCACAGCACAGAAATTGACTAAATCTGTCACTTTAGGGGTTGAAGGGTTTACGATGGCATTGTCACAAACATGGGTATATTTCCACGTCTGTGCACAATTGTCCAAGTATTGATTCTGGTGGTCACTTGGTTGCAGGAGCCCATATTACCAAAGGAGAAATTCGATGCCATCCGACAGACTCAGTTGATTGGATTTTGCGGCTTTTGCAAACAGGCAAGCATATATAGTCCAGGATGCAGTGAATATCTTCGTCAATTCCCATTGGCTCTGATGTGCTACTGTACATCTCCTCAGTCGCACATGAAGACCATTGTCATCTTTGCTTGTCATGGTCGTACTGCAACAGGGCCGTCAATCCTTGAGTAATGTATACTGGTTGAGTTTCAACGTACACTTGAATCTGAATCTTTTCTTTAAAAAAATATATAATAATATTCGGTTGCTCCTTCGTTTTTTTATTTTTTTGCGAATAAGATTGAAGTATATCTTCATGCCGGTGGTACCTCGCTCACGGAGCCTTCTCTGCAATCATTCCCCAGGGTCGACCTGTTTTTGCAATTGGTGTCGGCAATAGTACTTTTGATCAAGCCTCAGTGAGTGACTCGTTCTTTCTATTCTAAATAACTGAATAACTGAAACATTTGCATCCTAAGTTTCATTTCCGAATATACTCTCTATGAGCAAATCAAATTGCCAGATAGGAGTACTTGGTGCATAATCTCTTCTTTGAGTAGCATTATGTTTCACCACTCATATCATCCTTTTTATCAGGGATTGTGGACTTCTGTAAGTTGCACTTTCATGAACCCGCCAATTTTTTCGATTCTTTGCAGGTAGACAAATATGTCCAGTCACATATTCAGATCAACGAGTATAGGGATAGAATAATCTTGGTAAGTTCCGCAAAGTGCTGATGCGGTTTTGTCCATTGCGAAATGTCTGTATATAATTTTATTTTGTTTTCACCTCGTCATGAAAGACGCTTTGACGTTCTGACTTCCAACGCATGTGCTGCACAGACTGAAATCAGCACGAATAAGGGGCGATACGTAGGGACCTGTTTGAAGATTTTGGATATGACTAGCCTTAGTCTTTCGGCAATCAGCCGGTTGAAGACCTCCACAGCTATCGCAACCATTGATGATTTGAATTATCCAGAGAAAACTGACACTTACTACATTGTCAATGCGCCGCATGTGTTTTCTACCTGTTGGAAGGTATCATGAAGTTTCTGTTTTTGCAGTTCGCGGTTCACTGGTGACTTGCTCTCATGGCACTAGCGTTGATCATAAGAGTTGCCCTGGGACTCCGACTCTTTGAGTTTTAACTGTCCCGTGGCAATGATGAGTCACTCACCAAACTTCTCCCACCTGTTTGAGCAGGCAGTGAAACCTATGCTCCATGAAAGGACCAAGCGCAAAGTGCAAGTACTGCGGGGGAACGGGCAGGAGGAGCTTCTCCAGGTAAGTTTTTCACTTTGCTTGCTGACAGCATTTGAACCACAGTGGAAGGGCAACGGAATTGGTGAAAGTGTGATACGTCGAAAAGGTGGCACGTCTTTTAACGTAACTCAACTGTTGAGTTTCTGGGATGTCTGGCACTTGACATCAGTATTTTTTTTTTTTTTTTTTTTTTTTTTTTTTGCTTCAAGGTGATGGATTTTGAAACACTCCCTCCCTTCTGCAAGCCCGGCATTAGCTCATCCAACGAGTCTGACATCTTCTCGCCAGACCATCAGTTTCATGTGAAGCTGTACAATCACATTCAACAAATGGCTCTGTCCACTGACAGGGTCCTTAATGGTCTGTCCTCTGAGGGCTCCTTGAACATCGAAGTTCCGACCTCAGCCGAGCAGAGCCAGCATTCCGATGAATGCGAGGTTGTTCACGGGATTGGATCTGTGCTGCCCACTCTTCAAGCGTCTCCAAATGACTCTTACCAGCATCAAAGGGATACGTTGACTTCCAACATTGCTGGTCTACAAGTAAGTTAAACTCAGGAAATAAATAATAAATGAATATTATGTAAGTTTCACTCTAGGCTGTCACCACACCACCCTCTCTGCCACGACTACGCCACACCAGACAAAGTTGATTTGAAGGCTTCAGGAGACCAACTCTGCGAGGCCTAATTATAGTTGCCAACAAGTTGCAGAGTTTGGGGGGTGGGGGGTTTGGATAAATTCTCCGTGTGTGTGTGTGTATTAAAGTGACCGGCATTGGCCCTGGCAGTGCACTTGGACAGCTTTTGGGGCAATGCTGATGGCAAACCTCCCTGTCTCTCTGTAGGGGAAATCATCCTGCCTTTGGCTTGTCTTGGTGCTTGTGGCAGTCTACTTCATGAGAGGATTGTGGTGAAAGAGATGATGATGAAGAGGAAACTTGTGCAGTTGCATTTCCCTCACGGCACAGCCACAGCCCACCTCTCTCAGTTAGTTGCTCACCAATTCCTGATGCTGCTGCTGCTGCTGTTCGGTGATTGCTAAGTCATTGCATGGCTACTGATCTGAAGTCATGAATTCCTGGGTTAAACTGATGCATCACTCTGTTCTCTGTGCTTGTAGTTTCAGCTTTTGGAAATGTTGCTGCACTGATATGCTTGGTACTTAATTGAAAAGCAATACTCACGCGGCTATGGCAAAGATCAGACACAGTGTGAGACAAAATGACCAACTGGAAATTATGCCGCAACAAAAAAATTAAATTAAATTAAAAAAAAAATCAGGCTTCCCCCGGATATTGTCACATTTGCATATTGGTCAAATGTCAGGAGGTTATGACTGGTTCTCATTTCCACGAGGTGGTTCTGTTTATTCATATACAAAAAATAAAAATGTTTTTGTAAAAAATACAAATAAGTGAATGTTTATATACATATATACATATATATATATATACAAAAGAAATCACACATACCTACTGACACACACAATAACTTCATTTCATATAAACTCCCACAATTTTATTTCATGAAAAATGTATTTTTACATGCATATTATTGGTTTTAAAAGCTAAGATACAGTTTGAGTTGAGAAAAGGAAAGAAAGAGATAACATATCACACGTAAATGTCAGAATCATACTTGTAACTGGCTTTTGATGTTTGAAAAGTAATTAATGCTTAACTTGTGTTATAACAATTGTGTGTTGAATTATCCATTTATTTGTATTTATGTATATTTCAATTGTCTAAGTTTGAAGTTATTGAATAATTTTGTTGACTTTCATGAAATCCAAATAGATAAAACCTAAAATTTTGTACAATGAGATTCAGTCCAAATTATTAGATATATGAATATATACTTAAATTACAGAACTTCTAGTTTATTATGGTTTCTTTTTTTGAAAATCTTATTCCAAAAAGTACATATTTTTTGGAATAATTATCTAATAAAATTTAAATTAACATAAAATAATAAATGAGATATTTTTTTAGTTAATAATTTTTTTAAAAATAATACCTTCTATTAAATAAATTTTATTTTGTTTAAATTTTCTTTCTAAAAAATTAAAGATTTTTTCCTCAAATCTAGTTTTTGTAAATATTAATGTTTTATAAATCACATCTTTTGACCATTATCTCATATCATATATTATACTTTTTTAATATTCTAAATCTTTATAATATATATATATATATATATATATATATATATATAAATAATTTTTTTCAATATAACTACTTCAAAAAAAATTGTAATTATATTTTAAAATCAACAAAATTTATATATATTTTTTGATCATTTTAAAAATATTTTTCAAGGATTATCAATGCCATGGATAATGTCAACAATTTTTAGCAAAAGCAGCAATATTCGAGATTATTGTATATCAATACAATAACAAGATTAGGTAAAGTTGTAATAGTAGAAACTATTAGTAATTAGTTGAAACACCATTGCAAAGTAGTAGGATGGAAGCAATGATTAAGAAACTTTTAGGTATTATAAATGCCCATGGAGGAATACATACATTCTTTCTCTCTTTCAAAATTTAGATGTTTAGTAGTTAGTATTATAAATACAATGTGATAGTTTGTCAAATTTTGCAAGCATTCTAGTTAGACAAAATTATGTACTATGTTTTGCTTGAATGAATAAAAGAAAAAGTATTAGTTCATTAAATCTAGAGTACTTCTAAATTTGGTGGTATTGTGTAGAAGTACCATATCAAAAGAAGTGTATACAGCTTGGACTTATCAATATTACTATTACTATTCTATGGTGCATTGTCATGTAGTAATATGGCCATTAGGTGAAAGAAGAAAGAAAGTATTTTATTATAGAAGAGCCTAATTAAAAAATATAATAAAAAATATAGATAAAAAATATAGACAAGTAGTAAAATCTTGTAGTGTTAGAATTGTGTCATATAAACAAAGATTGTTACATACAACATATTGAGTGTTACCAGCCAATCATAAAGTATATAATTTAAATCAAATATAAATGCACATCCAATACACTCTTAAGAAAAGATTAGAAATCTATACCAAATTAAGTCAAGCTATCTCTTACACCATTAAGAGGGAATCTAAGAATGCAAGTGTGAAAATAAAAAAAATCCTAAAGCTTTACTAAAATGGCTAAAACACCATAGCCAAATAAATCCTTATAACAAGTTCTTTGACTTTCAAAAACACTCATAAGACTTGACTTGATAAGAATGTCAAGTCAAGGATTTTTCTCCACTTAATACCTCAAATCTTAATTGACATGAATAAGTCAATTAATAGAAAAACTATCAATGGCTGAAAAATCACTAATTAAATTAAATTACATACATTTAATAGAATTTGCCACTTGATGCTATACCACATGACAATTTTTAAGTAAACAAAGATTATTACATACAACACATCAAGTACTATCAATTAATTATAAAGTATGTAATTTAAATCAAATACAAATATACATCTAACATACTCTCAAGTACCCCTCTTAGTTGATTAGTAGCTCCTCTAGTCAACTAGGACTACAAACTTACATCATTGAAGATGAATGCCACCATCATATGAATGCTAAATTATACTCCTCCAAACTTAGTATTGTAGTAGTTAGACCATTATAATGTGTAACAAACATAATAGAAGAAATCTTCAATCCTTATTAAGAGATAAAGAATGATTAGAAGACTTTTTACAACAAAGACAAATTCAATCTCTTGACGGAAGAGTAAAAAGAAGTGGTATCAAATATGTTATATGCCATCCATGTAGGCATTAATCACATAAAAGAATAGTAGCAGGCTTTTTCTTCTCACCACATACAAAACAAAGAAGACCAATTTGTACAACTACTAATTCAAGATATATAGAGTTATCAACAAGAATATGACAAGGAACACAATTTTTTGAATGTTCTTAATACTCTTGTCAATCTTTGCCTTTTAATAATAAAATATTATTAGACAACACATTCTTGACATATAGAATTATACAACTTACTTTAATATCAAGTATTATAAGCACTTGAAATTGTAAATACACATAATTTTTTTTAGAGAATCTTTGCAATTGAAGTTGATAAACTCTACTACAAATGCAAGCATATGACAAAGTATCATGATATTAAGTAATAGATAAATTCTCTATAGTCATAAGCATGGCTTATTTAAAGAATTCTTTTCAATCATATAGACATTGAGTTCAAACATTAGAATCATCTAAGTCTACAACTAAAGCTAGCTTCTCACATATTGAGCTAGGTAGAATTAGCTTCGATCCATACAACAACTAATAAGGACTACAAGATGCCAAATATACTTATTTATTGAAGCATTAATCCATCACAATCTATGGCAACATCAAATTCCTATTACAATGGTTGCTATGAAATAATCTATACTTCCATAAATCACATTTGATAATTTAAAAAATCTATTTTTGTATTACATGATATCTTGTTTAGAAATAAACTGGACATTTGATTGTAGATGGTAGGATTGTGTTTTACAAGTATTTAAGAATCCTAATATGTTTCACCTTTATAAGAAGAATATAATTTTAACTTTAATTCAAAGAGCTTAAATCCAATATTAAGTGCTTAAAAACACTCTTGTTAATAATCTCAACTATATATAAACTCTAATTGCCTTATTACTTTCATAATTAGGTAATTTTGATTTTTCTTTATAAGCCCTAATCCTAATCAATAAGCATAAGTAAATTATAGCTCCTAATATAACCATGCACTTTAAGCAAAACTTTGCATAAAAATACCACTATAATTCTTCTATGTGCTTAAAAGAATTTATCCCAATTCAACTTATAGATCATGAAAAAACATCCAAAAACCACATTGATGTTACTTGGTTGCCAACTTGAAAGTTGATACAAATGTTTCAGCAATGATTTTTTCTTCTCCAACTTTTAGCTTCAACTCAAAATTAATGTGTAGCTTGATCTTCAAGTCTTCTAATATTATGCTAAATTTAATATTAATCCAACTAGTAGATCTTTGAATATTATAGAAATCCTATCCAACTCCAAACTACCAATTTTTGATACTTTCTTATACCAAAATCTAGATATTTTTAAATCGCTCTATTAGATTATTATAAAATTTCACATATATTTAGGACATCTAATTTATCAATCATTATCAAATTTTTAATTATAGATGTAACACGAATTTCACGAACTAGCCCATAGTGCTAGTCCTAATTGTATTGTATAAATTCCAAGTCACCAATACAAACCCTGACTTTAAATAATAATTGTAAAGTCAAACAAAATCCTTAAAAAACAAGCCTTATCTTTTTGAAACAGGATCTACGCTAACTCTCCAATCTTAATTATTGATCTTCAAATGCCTCCTTTATATAGTCCTAGGCAGTCATTTTGGTGGCTAGAGGTTTGATTTTGACCATGTCTTACATACAATTGACCCCTCGGTTTTAATCTAATCTATCATAGGAATTTTTAGCCTAATTCTAGTATCAACCGTACTAATTATTATTATTTTTTAATTTTATTTTATTAATATATGGTCTTTCTAAGGCAATAAAAGAGTCTCTATATCCTAGAAGGTAAAATTATTGACCAACTTTTAACCTACTAACTATTAAGATAAGAAAATAAACTAAGAGGCTTTTATAAAAGTTATGTTTGAATATCTTGAATTATTATTTAACTAAGATAATTAGATATTAATTAGAAATTTATTTTTGATTATATTTTTATCATATAGCTGTTTTATAACATGACATCCACATCTTCTGAACCTGTACATCCTCTGATATGCGCCAAATGAACCATATGTCATAATTAGCATTACACCATCTCTTCATTTTTTGCATCAAATCCTTCACTACTATTTTATATTAAAAATAAAGACAAATAATTCATTTTAATTACCACTATTGCTCCAATAAAATAATCCTTTTCAGCTTTCATAGCTGAATCAACTTCTTATAATTCTTTTTTTACTTGTGAATATACACATTGGTGATTACTTAAAACCTTAGCTCCAAATTATATTGAAAATCTATGTCCATTCAAATCATCTTGACCTATAGCCCATCCAATGATAATTGAATTAGTATCCTTTGTAAAAATCACCAATCTGTTATACTTATAATGAATTTTTCTCAATATTGGTGGTGATGTCAATAATTTCTTCAATCTTTATATTACTTTAATATGTATATATATATATATATATATATATATATATATATATATATATTTTTCCATTTAAATTGATAGCCCTTGTATAATAGTTCATACAATAGATCT